TTTAATGGGGGGCCAGTGTGGGGGGTCTCAGTGGAGAGGAGAGAGATTCCAGGGGAACAGTGAGAGCAGAGGATTCAGGGGGTTCAGAAGTTCCCTTGGAAAGGCAGGAGGGGGTTTTCGGCCCTCGCCCTCCTTGGCAAGCAGAATCTGGGAGGGAGGGCAGGTGGCGCAGGGGTGGGGGCAAGCGTGCTGACACCAAGAAGCCTGGACATATGGATTTCCGTCCACTTGCCCTTACTCTGACGGAAACTGGTAAGGTCGGTCAAGACGTTGAAATCCAAGTGCCCTTGGGCGGCCAGATCGATCCATTGTTCAGTGAATATTTGGGCCAAGCGCTGGTCAACAGGAAGATCAGGCCTCTTTGGGTTACGGAGGACACACTCTAAAGGTGTTTTGGGATCAGGTTTGGAGGCAGCAGACCCCATGGCGGATTAGACCTCCGGTAGAGAGAATGAGCCAAGAGGCGTCCCCTTGGGTATAATCTCTCAACAGATTGGAGGGTACAGGGAAGTACCCACTAGGCGTCCAGGAGATGAGAGGATCCTTAGGGTACCCCTGGGGCACCCGGAATGGATGGGGAGTGTTCCTGGCATGGCCGTGACTATGACAGAAACTCTGGAAGTCCAAAAGACAGGGCTGGGGTCCCTTACCTTCCCAGCCTCATGACAGCAGGAGAGGTCCCATGGAGGGGCTCTAACCTAGAGGCCTCCAGCCCCTCCAGGGTTTCCCTGCCAGATGTTAGGTTTGATTTGGGAGCAGTGGTGGTCAGAGGCAGCAAAGGCGAAAATACCAGAGTCAGGCTTTGGGGTTTAATAAAACCAGCATAATTTACGCGCTCTCGGGCCCAGGGCGCTCTCGGGCCAGGTCCCTGGGCCTCGGCCTGGTCCCTTGGCGAAGGCAGGCCAGTGGACAACAGGAAAGTTCCTGCTGGCGGGAATGTTTCCGCCATGTTTCTTTTCCCTCCCCCCAGACCTTACATGCTCCTGGGCAGCCCCAAAGTCTGAGTCGCCATCTCCAAATGGCTTAGTACAAACGTTGCACGGATCATTATTATTACTATTAAAGCATGAGAAGTCCTTTTGGGGAGCAGACTGACTTGGCACCCCAGGGAGGGTAGATGGTGCCACAGGATCTAAGTTAGGATCCTCCAGGAGGCCAGTGGAGTCCTCAGAGCGATTTTCCTGGATCTTTAGTCTTTGCTTCGGGTCCAGACCAGAGCAGGCTTCCACCACGACTGCCCTAAGCGCTCGGTTCTGGGTGGAACCCGCAAGTGCAGAAGCGTTTTCGGATCTTGGAGTTCAGTGCGGGCTGGGTGGGGAGGGAGCTGGCACAGCCTTTCCCAGCGGCCTGGGGTCGCGGGGTCGCTGTTCCGGGGTAATTGGAGTCCAAGTCGTGTTCGCGATCCGGGGTTCGGAAAGTCCTCCCACGCAGTCTGCATTTTCACAGCCGCGGGCGAGAACCGGAAACGTCCAGAAGCGCCCCGACCCGCCAGCGTCCCATGTTCTGTTACTCCCCACAAACCTCGGCCAAGTTCAGCCCTCAGGTCCGAAAGGCGCCGCCCACCGTTACGTAACCCCCAGGTGTTTCCCTGACGTGGCGGCGGTGCAGGGTCTATGCAGAGACAGGCTCCAGGTGTCCGTGAGTCCGGGGTCCAGAGGCGCGAGTGGAGGGACAGAAAGTAGGTGGTGGGGCCAAGCAGAAAGGGGCTGGGGGAGAAGTGGGGTCAGGGGAGGACAACCCTAAAGGCCAGGTGGGGAGATGACAGCCAGACCAAGCTCCTGGGAGGTCCCAAAGCCTGGGTCTGGGGCCATCATGGCTTCCCCCATAGCCAGAAAGGGGGAGACTGGCCCCTCTCTCTTAGCAGTCATCTCGAAATGCCTTGGACCAAACTTACCAATGATTACTTTTGTTATTATTAATTATTATTAAAATATTCGCAGTCCTTTTGGGGAGTGAGCTGAATGAGATGGTTTGCAGCAGCTGGAACACCATAGGAGCTCCTGGAAGAGCAGACATGATGGAGGAGAGGGCAGGGGCCAGGATCAGGGAGCTGGGTTCCTTCCCCTGTCTGCCTTATCACCTTGTGGAGTTCAGTGGGAAAAAATAGCGGCTGGGGCCGGCAGGTGGTGTGGTGCTTGGGGGCACTGGACGCCCACATGGCCAATCGCAGTTCGAGTCCCAGACCTGGCCACTTTATATTTCTCTCTCTCTCTCTCACTGTGTCCCTCTCTGGTCAAATTAAAATAACTAAATAAATTAAATTAAATTAAATAATTCTTTTAAAAAAAGGAAAAGAATAAAGAATGGTTGTGAGAATAGGACTAGATCCAGTCCCTGATGTGCTAAATAGGTGCAGGGTCAAGATAAATGAGGAAAATGCGTGTAAACCCAAGAAACAGCTCAGATCTGGGATGCGTGACATTTCCATCCACAGGGAAGTGTAGGCCAGGGGCCCTGGTGGAAGGCATATAGCGATGGGGATAGCTCAGCTTTAAGAAAGGAAAAAAAGTCGCAGGGCTGATAAAGATGGGATGGACAGGGTTCCTGACCCTGCAGTGCTCATGGTCTGGTGGCAGGGTGGTATAAGGGGTGACATGGGGTTTCTGTAGCAGTGCTGGTGCCATCGGGAAGGTTCATGGGCTGAAACAGTGGTTTTAAAACCTTGTCTGCACGTTGGAACCACCTAAGGGGCTTTAAAGGGTGCTGAGTTCTAGGTCCACCCGCAGTACACTGATTGGATTGGTTTAGCTCTGGCCTGGGCATCCGGGCATTGAACACTGTCCAGGTGGTTCTACCAAGCAGCTAAGTTGGAGATGTTCCAAAGACCAAGAGATCCATGTTGCGGATGGGGCTAAGCTTTGTAAAAGGCTTTCAGGATGGTATTATTATTATTAATATTGTTACTGAGATAGAATTCACGTGTGACATAATTGACCCTTTAGATTGGACAGTCCAGTGACTTTTAGCATAATGGTGAAGTCCTGCCACTGTCCGCACTGGCTCAGGGAACCAGTCTTTAAGATTGCAGAGAGGTGGGTGGGTTAGAAGGCAGGGCAGTGTGATCTAGGGGAGGGGAGTGCTTAAGCAGTGGGCCCTGGTGGGACAGGGTGAGGAGACCAGGGAGTCTGCAATTCAGAGGAGATGTCACCAGAGAATTGGGGTGGGGGTGTCAGACAGCAGATTGTGACAGCTGTGCATGGCTTGGGGCATTCTGGTTACAACTGGGACAACTGTTTAGGGAGCAATACTCCAGGATGAAGGTAGATGACAGATTGGGCTGAAGTGCTGAAGTAGTGGCCATGGAATTGAAAAGTGGCTGCAGGCCAGCAGGTGGCTTGGTGGGCCTGCACTCCCATGTGGCCGACTACAGTTCAAGTCCTGGAACCAGAGGTTTGAAAGTCACACTGGGCATGAGGGCATGCATGACCAAAATTGCAGGAGGGAAATGGAGAAGGGGTTGTGGTGTGGTCATCCCTCCAGTGGGATGATTTCCCACTCTCTGTCTCTCCAGCGAGGGCTTGCATCCTATAGCAAAAAATCTCTCTCGAACAAAATAAAAATAAAAAGTTGCCAGAGCTGACTGAGAGGCAGGAGAAAGAGGGAATCAGGAGGAATGAAGGAAGGGGCCAGGGGCCAAACCCAACATCCTGGGAGGCTGGCTCAAGTGCAGATTCCCAGTTGCCCTATGCGGACCTCCCTGAGTGTGCCCACGATCCAGATTGGCTGAGGCTGGGGATGGATGGCAGCATCAGGACTCTGGAAGGTTCTGTGAGGTTCCTGTGGCATGTGAGGGGCAGGCTGGCCCAGACTCCAAGAGGTCCTAAGGCAGGTTGGAAAAGGGAATTTGGAGCGAGGATGTTGGAGTGGATGAAGACCTGCCAGGTTGACCTTGTCATCTCCCAGGGGCTGAATAGAGAGGCCACCAAGAAAGCAGCCCTGGCTGGATCTTGGAGCCAGAGGGAGGAGAAAGAGATCAAAATGGCTGAAAGGTCAGAGAGAGTTTGAGGTCTCTTTGGAAGCTTCTGAGAGACAGCTGGGGCTGAAATCCTCACCTGGTATGCAAATCTGGTCACTGTGGCATTGCCAGTCATGCTGACAGTCACAGGGGCGGGGCGGCGGTTTGTGTTGCGTCTTCTCTAAGGTCGTTCAGGGGTAAGAAGGAAAGAAGACGCCCTGAGGAAGAGCCCTCTAGAGGCGGGGTGCACACGCCCTGCTTTGGGGTGGCGCAACCTGACGTCACTGGCACAGTCTTTAAAGTGATCAGCTCCGACAGAACTCGGATCTCGCCCCCTCAGCATTTGGCCCCACGTCCCCGCGCGTCTCACCCCGGGACTCCTGTGTCGCAGGCTGTTCTAGCCTCTCCTCTTTCTAAGCCCCAGAGTTATCCCGGCAAAGTTCGTCTAGGACTTGCAGACCAGGGCCTGGGGTTGGCGAGTCCTAGCCCGCCTTCTCGCTCGCGATTGGCTGGAGGCTCTCCTGAGTGAGTGTCCGCGGACTGCGCACCGGCGCGAGTGTCAACACAGCACACGCTTTATCCTCCGGTCCCCACTCTTCGCAACGCCGCGGTCGCGTGGGCTGCCCGTTTCGCGGGAGCAGGGATGCGGGCTCTGGAGGTGCGCCCAGCCCTGCCGTTCCTGGTCGGAATTGGCTTTTTTGTACTGGAAGCCGCTGCGGGTGAGCGGGGTTCTTGGATGTGCGCGACTGCGCGGGCGTCTACCCGGTCGGGCGGGTGTTAGTGCGTGTGGCCCGGCCACCGGGCGGTGGGCTCTGGCGGGGTGTCTGCGGGAGATGGGGGGGTACGGGCGGCGGTGCCGGGGTCCGTGGATCGCCCGCACCCCGCAGTCCCGCTTTCCTCATTGCTTTTCTATTCTTTCAGCGGTCTCCTCTGCGCTGCTCGCCGCGCCCGGCACTCCCCACCCCTCCCCGCACCATCTAACCTGCGCGGTTCTCTGGTCCCCTTGCTGCACCTGCTCTGCCTGCTGTCCTCTGTTTAAAAGATATGTTATTATATTTTTGTTTTATTTTATTTTAATTTATTTCACTGACATCGCAGCCCTTCTAGCAGCCCAGGGGTGCTTCCAGGGTTGCTCTTCCAAGGGCTCCAAGGGCCCGTCGAGGTCCGCCACTCAGGGGACACTTCCCATGGGCTTGTGGGGCTCTTCCTTTCCTTCAGTCCCTGGAGCCCAGTCCTCTCCCTGAGGACAGAGCCAGTCTCTGGTCCTGGGCAGGGGTTTGGGGGTGGGGTGGTGGAGGGGTTGGGGGTGTGGGGAGGCTGAGTACCAGGAACTAAGGAGGTGAGTGCAGGCAGAACCACTCTGCTCACAGCCGCCAGGCAGGGCATTCCTGTGCTTGTTCTCACACGGGGTTCTCTCCTGGCTGCCCCCCAGCCCACCTCAACAGGCCCCCTCTGTCCTGGACCCTCCCCTCCCTGCCCTCCCCTCCTGTCTACAGTTCTCTGATCCATTCTAGGGTGTTCTCACCCCTCATTCCCTCCCTGTCTCACCCAGGTCTCTGCCTCCCCCTTAGGTGTCTACAAGGAGCCCTCCCAGAGGTCACCCCATGTCACCCCGACCTCCTCCCAGCTTCCCTCACCCTAACTTTCTGGTGGTGCCTTTGTCCAGGGTCCTCTCTCTGTCCCCACTCCCCTCCAGTCCCCAGAAGGGAGGGGGTGGGGCTTGCTGAGAACTGCAGACACCCCAGACCTCCTTCTGGGCACCCCCTCCTCCCTCTCCAGGGCAGGCTCTGGCCTCACCAGCCCCACCCTGCTACAGTGCCCTCCATGACCCTCAGGTGGGGCTCAGCCTCTCCACCCAGGGCACCTCACCCTGCTGCACCCCTACCCACCTGCACTGGTTCCTTCCTGAGCTCTCACTCTCACAGGTCTCCCCTCTGTCCTCACCTGGAGCACCCCTCCTCTCCTGTCCACCCTACTCCAGGATCTCCCAGGCCACCCCTGCCCCACGCTCACCCCACCTCTCAATCCTTGCCCTGGACATTCATCTCTTGCCCTTCCCATCTCCCACCCTCAAGACCCAGAAAAGGCCCTTGGTCCAGCCCTTCCCTCCCTTCCATCCCCCTCTTCTGGTTCCTGTCCCCAGGGCTCTCTCCTGCCCTACTCACCTGTCCACCACCTTCAGGTGTCACTTGGGGCTGCTCTCCCCTCCTGGGGCCTTCTCCCTGCACCCCCTTCTCCTGTGATGGTTTCTGACCCTCATCCCGGTTTGGGGTGTGACCTGCCCCTCTCACCCCTCCTGCCCCCACTCTGCAGGCCCTTCCCCAGGCTGGGATTTTACCCATTTGCTGGATTCTCTCTCCTCTGGCCAGAGCCCCGGCCCTTTCTGTTTTTACAGGATTTCTTGGTGTACTGGACCCGTCTCTCTTGTTACGTACTTGTGAATAAATTAGACACAATATAACTCTTAGTGTTTAGCAGTGTTTGAGTGGATAGTTAGTGGCATTAAGTACGTCCACTTTTTGGTGCAACTTGGAACTCTGCAGTTAAGAGTTAGCAGCAGCTTCCCGTCCCCCCTACCCTGGTCCCTGCTCACAGCATTCTGCTTTCCGTCTCTGTGAATTTGGGTCCTCTAGGCGCTCATATGAGAGGGTCCTATAATGCAGCATTTGTCAGTTTTTATGGCTTATTTTACTTCCCACAGTGTTTCCAAGTCATTCATGTGGCAGCGTGTGTGATAATTTCCTTACTTTTGAACGTTGAACTATTGTACACCTCTATTATATATACATACTGTATATCTACACACACACACACATATACACCCTCTATATGCTGAATTCCCTTCATCAGCGGGTCGTCACTTGGGCTACTGCGACCTTTTAGCTGTGTGACTAATGCTCTGTGAACGTGCGTGTACAGATAACTCCTCACGTCCCTGCTGTCTGTTCTCTACTTAGCTGTACCCCCTGACGTAGAAAGGGTAGAGCAGAGGTAATTCGTTTTCATTTTCAGAACAACCGCCATGTTGTCTTCCACACGCTTTGTACCTCTGTACATTTCTTTCCTTTCTTTCTTTCCTTTCTTTCTTTTTTTTTTTTTTGAGAGGTTTTTACAATAGGGTACATGCACTAGTGGAGAGACAGACAGAGAGACAGAAAGCGAGAAGTCACCCCCTGGGGGCATATCCATGTCGCAATTCCTTCTCCTCCATTCTCCTTCCAGGATTTTGGGTGCACAGGTGTTCAGCATGAATTTTAAGCCACTGGGTCTAGGACTCAAACCATGGTCAACTATGTAGCGGTCCAGCAATATAACCATCATGCCTATCTAGTCTTTCCATAAGAGAGAGACAGAGCCAGCACCCCCAATGGGGTCTCAACACTGTGATCCACCTTCAGTCTCTGCCACTCCTGGATCATGGACAAACACACATACCCTGGAGGTCTCCCGGGGGTTTTTGTATGTGGGTTTTTTTGGTTTTGTTTTGTTTTGTTTTTAATAAGTTTTTTGTCATAGGGCATGTGCACTTGCCAGAAAGACAGAGAGAGGCAGAAAGCAAGAAATCACCCCCCCCAGGGAGGATGGCCACACCACAATCCCTTCTCCTCCATTCTCCTCTTGGGATTCTGGGCACGCACACATGCCCAGTGGGAGTTTAAGCCACTGGGTCCAAACTCAAACCACGGTCGTCTACATCAGAGCCCAGTGACATAGCCTTCATGGCAACTACTGCAGAATTTTTTTTTTTTCCAAAGAGAGATTATTTTGTATAGGGCACGTGAGCTTGCCAGAGAGACAAAGTGGGAAATGACCTCCGGAGGGGATGGCTGCGCCGCAATCCCTTCTCTTCTGTTCTCCTCTCGGGATTTTGGGCACGTGAACACAGGCACCAACTGTGACTTTTAAGCCACCCAATCTGGTACTTGAACTGCTGTCAACTATGGTGGGAGTCCAGCTATGTAACCATTCCGCCATCTGCTGGTTCTAAGGTCTCCAGACTTAAACTAGGACCCTTCCTACATAAGATTGCCTTGTAGAGCTTTGAGTTTTCTTGCTTCCAGTTTTTAAATGGAATAATTTCAACTTATCAACTACATGTTTTTCTTTTTTATTATGGCTAGAGTGTGCATACATTTGCTGAAGAGAGACGGAGAAAAAGAGAGAGAGAATGTAAGAAAGCATCCTCTGTGGGAATGGTCAGGCCACAGGCTCTTCTCCATTTCTCCCTACTTTAGAATTTGGGGCACACACACACGCACGCACCCAACATGTCTCTTGAGCCTCTGGGTCCAGGACTTGAACCACACATTTGGCCATGTAAGATCTAGCCACTTTAGCCACCACACCATACACTGGCCCCAATTTAGTCTTTCTACAATTTTTATTTTATAATTTCTTATTGCCATTTATATATATATTTTTTCTTTTGCCTTGTTTTTTAGAGAGAGAGCTGTTTGCTATCGGGTGTGTGCACTCTCTAGAGAAACAGAGAGAGACAGAGAGCAAGAAAGCGAGAACTCACTCCCCAGGGAGGGTAGCCACACCACCGAGATTTTGGTCACGTACTCACACAAGTCCAGAGTGAGTTTAAGTTACCAGGTCCAGGACTCGAACCATGGTCAGCTATGTGGGAGTCCAGAGACGTGACCATTACGCCATCTGCTGATCCCTCTTCTTCCCATTTAATTCTGTTCATCTTTGCAGAGTGCAATGTGGTTTTCTCTGATGTTGGGGCTGTGAATATTTAGAGTCATTATCGTGGTGGTTTATTCCCTTTAATCCTGTCTAGTGGCCTCGTCTCCTCTCACTGTTTTCAGCTGGAAGTCTGTGTCAGCCAGTATCAATCTCAGACTCCAGCTGTTTGTTCCCATTTGCAAGAAACACCTTTTTTCAGCCCTTCACTATCCATCTGGGTGTGTCTTCAATGTGGTGTTTCCTGTAAGCAGCATAAATAGGGCTCCGGGCTCCTGTGTTTTGCGGGGTTTTTGTATGTTTTTTCCTATCCACGGAGCCTATGTCTTGTCTTGTCTTTTAACATCAAGAATGTTCCGTGTTGGTTCATTTGGATTTTGTGTTTGTACTGATTCTGTCCTGCAGTCCATTTTTCTCACGTACTCATTGGTCAGAGCACACACCTGCCAATCTGATAATTATGTTATTTGCCTTACGAAATCATATCACTTGCATTGAATATATAAAAATATGACCAGCAGATGGCATAATGGTTATGGCCCACATGGCTCACCATGGTTTGAATCCCAGACCTGGCCACTTGAAACTTGTGTCAGGCGTGTGTGCACACGTGCCCAAAATCCCTAGAGGAGAATAGTGGGGAAGGGATTGCAACGTGGCCATTTTCCTGTGGGGAGATCTCTCACTTTCTCTCCGTCTCTCTGGAAAGCACATGCACCCTATAGCAAAAATCTCTCTCTCTCTCTCTCTCTCTCTCAAAAAAAAATTATATATAGCCATCAGAAAACTCATGATGTATTTTTGCATAGAAAATAATATGTCATGTCTTTTTTTCTATAACCCAATATGTAACATCATCTTTGAAGCTTTAAAACAAGTGTTAAAAATCTTTTTTTTGTTATTATTTTCTACTGGTAAAATTAAGATTTCTGGGGGCCAGCAGGTGGTATGGTTGTTGAGGCTTTGGACTCCCAAATGACTGAGCAGAGTTCAAGTCCTAGGCCTGGCAGCTTGTTTTCTCTCACTTTCCCTCTCTCTCTCTGTCTCTCTCTCTGGTGAGTACATGTGCCCTGTAGCAAATTAAAATAATAATAGCAATAATGATAAATAAAATAAAAGGAATACTTCTTTAAAAAGGTAAGATTTCTGTAATTACTAACAGAGTTTAATGTCTGTCATCAAAAGCACTTTATAGAGGCCAGCAGGTGTCATGGTGGTTAAGGTGCTGAACTCCCACCAGGCTGACTGGTGGTTCCAGTCCTGACCCTTGCAGCTTGCTTTCTCACTTTATTTCACCCTATAACAAATTTTTAAAATAATAACAATAATAAATAAAATTAAATAATTCGTTAAAAAATCTACAATTACCAAAAAATTCTACTCATGAAAGCTTTTTTTGAAAAAAAAAGAAGTATTTTATTTTATTTTATACATCATGATTATTTTAATTTTTTAATTTGACCACAGAGAGACAGGGAGTACGAAAGTGAGAAAGCAAGCTGACAGATCTAGAACTCAAACCATGGTTGGCCATGTGGAATCCAGTGCCTTAACCACACCACCACCTGCCAGCCCCCTCATGTAAAGCTTTTACAAGACCTAAATTCAGGGGTAGAGGAGTCCTGGTGCTCCAGGATGTATTGTAAAGGGGTGCTGGCAGCCCGTGGGCAATTTCCCAGTTAGAGACAAAAAGAGGTCTCGAAGGAGGTCCCCTCAGTCCTGCAGTGTGGGACCGTGTACCCACCGGGCGTCCAGGAAGCATCCTTCCCTGTGGGCCGGGTCCTCTGTGGATTACCTCTCGGCGTATAATTCAAGAGCCGGGAGTGCCGGCAGGAGTACCTGGGCTTACCTGTGCCAGGACAGCTGTCCCCTGCCTGGGTTTGTCTCTTTCCCCTGAGCCAGCAAAGGAAATCATTTGAATTGTGTGTCCTGAGCTTGGAGCTGTAAGAGGAGGAAGACCTCCCCCAAACCTGGACTTCACAGTACCCCGAGATAGGCCTTCCGCCTCTGCTCGCCATGTCTGCATGCCTGCGTCAGGATCAAGTCCAAAGAGAATGTGAGAGAAGTTCTTAGAGTTCATGAGGCAGAAACAAGTGATGTGTCTGCAGGGGGAGTAGGTGAGCTCCAGAGATCCCAGTAAAGCCCTGAGGAGAGTTTCAAGTATGTGACAATGTGGGGGCCAGGCAGACAGAGCAGTCAGCTTACAAAAGAGGCAAGGAGAGGGGGCCTTTGGGGAGACTCTCAATAGATCTGGCCTCACAGAGGCCAGGCAGCATGGTATGAGCGATAGAGAAGGGCTCCGAGGGATGCTGTGATTGCCCGCCTGTCATAGAGCAGACCATCGAAAAAGTGCGCCCTGACACTTGTTCCTACTGTGAAAGGCCTGCAGAGAGATAAACCTTGTATGACTAGATATGACCGGTAAGACGCACAGCAAGGAGCAGTCAGCTTGCTCCGGTGCACGGTCAGGAAGACCAAGAGGATCATGGTGCTCCTTCACATGAGAAAAGGATGTATTTTTTTTAATTTTTATTATCATTATTTATTATTATTTATACATTCAATCATTGTGCATCATTGACTCCCCCTTCTACCCTGGGGGGTCTCTGCAGATGTGTCCGAGCACCTGCCCTCCCCACCTCCCCTGATTACTCTGCATCCTTCTGTTCTTTATTTCTCCTCCCATGCTCTTCTCCTTGCATTTCAAGCCCTTACTCTTGTCTCTGTATTTATACACATTTTCTCATCCTCTCCCTCCCCTAGGGCACAACCTTCCTTCCATCTTTGACCTTCTTGGTCCTGCCTTGCCCCCTGCAGGCGAGTGTCCCATGGACCGCCCACCATCACCCTCGGGCAGCCCGGGAGCCCCTCTCCTGCACCTGTCCTGTTCTCCTCCCCATGTTTATTCCTCCTCCATTCCCTGCTTCCTTTCCCCTTCCTACCTCCTTTCCTATTTTGTTTGAATTTGACCTCCTCATCCTTGTCCCTTTGCCAATCTGTTTTCCATGTCCTCAGAGGGTCAGGAACGGCAGACTTCCGTTACACATCTGATGTGTGCTTGTCTCCAAGATGCAGTTTCATGTGGGGCTCCCTCTTTTCCAGGACCCCACACCCTGCAGTATACCCTCACTGTGGGCTCCCAGGACACATATGTGCAATCCAGATTTTATGGTGAAGTATTTTTGAACGGTCAGCACTTCCTGCACTATGACAGTGAGAACGACAGGGCAGAGCCCGGGGAAACGTGTGCAGAAGCCGTCCTGGGAGCAGAGACCAGGAATGCAGAAAGCAAGCTCGTCAAAGAGAAGGGGCAGGACCTCAGGACCACTGTGGCACGCATTGACAACCTGCATAAAAGAGGTGAGAGTGGACGGGGCAGGAGCGATGGAGGCTTCTCCAGAAAAGTTGGGGTGGGTAGCAGGCACTGTCTCTGCCCCCAGAATGTGGCTGGGGGTAGAAATGAGGAAAGGGAGTCTAGGGGACTTTGCTTGCAGGTGAGCTGGTGCCCAGGTACCAGAGGGGAGACACCAAGGAGTGCCAGGGAGGGCCCTCTGGGCTGGAGGTTCCCACCTGGGCTGACAGAGGGGGCGCCCAGGGAGTGGAGAAGTCACCACGGGGTGGGGGCAGGCCTGCATTCCTTCCAGGAGACCTGGGGCTGTGAGATCCAAGAAGACGGCAGCACCAGGGGCTTCAGGGACTTCCGCTATGATGGGGAGCCCCTGCTCTCCTATGACCTGAAGACTCAGCAATGGACAGTGCCCCGGCGCTCAGCTCAGGCTCTGGCTGTGAGTCTCCAGAGGTCCTTGGATGAAGATGCCGCAGAAGCCCGGAAGCACTACGACTATGTGCAGAGAGACTGCGTGAAAAACCTGGAGCAGTATCTGCGTTCCTGCATGGACTTCCAGAAACCAGGTACTGACCCTGGGCAGGGGCCTGTCCTCCATTACACTGGAGTCTCATCACCCCAAACACTGGCCAAAGGTACCTTCCCCATGCTGTGGGATAATTGCATGTCTTATTCTTTTCTTTTCTTTTCTTTTCTTTTCTTTTCTTTTCTTTTCTTTTCTTTTCTTTTCTTTTCTTTTCTTTTCTTTTCTTTTCTTTTCTTTTCTTTTCTTTTCTTTTCTTTTCTTTTCTTTTCTTTTCTTTTCTTTTCTTTTCTTTTCTTTTCTTTTCTTTTCTTTTCTTTTTAAATTTAACCAGAGAGGGACTGAAAGAGAGAGGGTGAGAAAATAAGCCCACCTGGTCCGGGACTAAACCAGGGTCAGCCGTGTGGGAGTTCAGTGCCCTT